ATTCTCTTGCCTCATCCTCCCAAGTAGCTGGGAAAATGGGCATCCACCACAGCACTCAACTATTTTTTTTGGTTGTTGCAGTTATCATTGTTGTTTTAGTGGCCAGGCTGGGTTTGAACCCACCAGCCTCGGTGTATGTAACAGGTACCCTACCCACTGAGCTACAGGTAACACCCTCAAGCGATTCTCTTGCCTGAGCCTCCCTGGTAGCTAGGACTACAGGTGCCAGACACAATGCCTGACACAATGCCAAGCTACTTTGTTGTTGTTGTCGTCATCATTGTTGTTTAGCAGGCTGGGGCTGGGTTCGAACCCATCAGCCCCAGTGTATGGGGCCAGTGCCCTAACCACTGAGCTATAGGCACCAAACCACACCATCTGATCTTTGATAAACCAAACAAAAGCATAAACTGGGGAAAAGAATCCCTATTCAACAAATGGTGCTGGGAGAACCCGATAACCACATGTAAACCACTGAAACTAGACCTGCACCTCTCACCACTTACAAAAATTGACTCACAATGGATAAAAGATTTAAACCTTAGACACTAAATGATAAAAATCCTAGAAGAAAGCATGGGAAAGACTCTTGATGATATTGACCTGGGAAAAGATTTTATGAAGAAGACTCCTTTGGTTAATCTCAACAATAACAAAAATAAACAAATAAGTAGGACTTAATTAAGCTAGAAAGCTTCTGCACAGCTAAGGACACAACAATTAAAGCAAATAGAGAACCTTCAGAAGGGGAAACGATATTTGCATGTTATGAATCTGGCAATGGGTTGATAACTGGAATCTACAGAGAAGTCAAATTAATCAACAACAACAAAAAAGCAAACAATTCTGCCTATCACTGGGCAAGAGATATAAAGAGAACCTTCTCTGAAGAGGACAGAGGAGTGGCCAACAGACACTTGAAAAAATGCGTGGCATCCCTAATCATCAGAGAAATGCAAATCGAAACCACTCTGAGATATCACCTACCCCAAGTTAGAATAGCCCACATCACAAAGTCCCAAAGCTGCAGATGCTGGCTTGGTTGTGAAGAGAAGGGAACACTTTTACACTGTTGGTAGGATTAAAAACTAATATAGCCCCTTTGGAAAGAAGTATGGAGAATCCTCAAAGAACTCAAAATAGACCTTCCATTCAATTCCGCAATCCCATTACTAGGTATCTACCAAGAAGTAAAGAAATCATTTTGTCCTAAGGACACTTACATCAGATTGTTTATGCAGCTCAATTTACAACTGCCAAAGCATGGAATCAACTCAAGTGCCCATCAACCCATGAATGGATTAATAAACTGTGGTACATGTATACCATGGAATATTATTCAGCCATTAAAAAAAAGATGGAGACTTTACACTTTTATATTAACCTGGATGGAGTTGGAGAACATGCTCTTTCACAAGAATGGAAAATCAGGTTTGGCGTCTGTAGCTCAGTGGCTAGGGCGCTGGCCACATGCACCAGGGCTGGCAGGTTCAAAGCCAGCCCGAGCCTGCCAAAGAACAATGACAACTTCAACAACAGAAAAAAGATAGCTGGGTGTTGTGTCAGGTGCCTGTAGTCCCAGCTACTTGGGAGGCTGAGGCAAGAGAATCACTTAAACCAGTGGTTCTCAACATTCCTAATGCTGCGATGTATTTTCATTGTTACAAAGGGGTCGGAACCCACAGGTTGAGAACCACTGGCTTAAGCTCAAGAGTTTGAGGTTGCTGGGAGCTGTGACGCCACCGCATTCTACCAAGGGCGACATGGTGAGACGCTGTCTCAAAAAAAAAAAGAAAAATCAAGTATCCAAGGTATTCAATACTAATATGAATGAACTAATATAGATGAACTAATACACACTCACACAAGAGAAAAACTCAATTCAAGTTGGGGGGAAAGGGGAGGAGGATGGGAAAGAGAGGAATTGATATGCTCTCACCTAATGGGCACAATGTAAGAGTCTATGACACACTTCCTGGGTGAGGGGCACAACTACAACAGCAGGGACCTTACCTAACAAATGCAAACATTGCAACCTAATCTTTTGTACCCTCATATTAATCTGAAATAAAAATAACAATAAAAAGCATTTATTTCTAAAATATGCACTGCTTATTTCCAGATAGCATTTGAGGTCACTGTAATAAAGCAACATGCCCATAAGCAATAGGACAACTTCAAATTCTCTTTGAGAAAATGTTTAAAATTTACTGGGATACATGAGAGTACCAGTTTGAGAGAAATATTAATATTCAAGAATTTTTAAAGCCCAATTTACTCTACGGAGTAAAGGTTGATGATAGCTGAGTCTAACTGCACACACAGCCTCATCGAGCTAAATCCGCGTAACATCTTCATTTCTATCTACTTTTATTTCTTCAGCTAGGTTCTCTCCCTGGTCCTCTAGAGCCACCATGTGCCTCACTTTGTTGCTCAATGGCACCCCCATCGGAGACTCAGCAGAAAGGAAAGATTGGAAAGCCAGTTCTAGTTATGTGTGTTTGTGCATGTGCTGCGGTGGGGAGGATTTCTGGGTTAAAGTGATGTTTAAATTTTAATGATTTATCCATTCATTCCTCTACAGAGTACAGTCTACACACACATATATTCTCATTCACTCATTCATTTTCTCTCTACCCGCTTCCCTCCCTCCTTCTGTGAGGTCAGTAAAGCATTCAAACCCACAATATGCAATATGAAAATCCTAAAAATAGATGAAGACTCTATTTCCATTTTGATCTCTCCCTACAGCACTCTTTCTTCCATTCTGATTCTGTCAATGACAATCCCGTTCTTTGAGCTTATCTTATCTTTCTTTCTTTCTTTTTTTTTTTTTTTTTTTTGAGATAGGCAGTGGTTCTCAACTTGTGGGTCGCGACTCATTTTTAACAATGAAAGTACACTGCAGCATTAGGAAGGTTGAGAACCACTGAGATAATTTCATTTGGTCACCCTTGGTACAGTGACATGGCATCTTAGCTCACAGCAACCTCAAACTCTTGGGTTCAGGCAATCCTCTAGCCTCAGCCTCTCAAGTAGCTGGGACTACAGGTGCTCACCACAATGCCCAGGCTATTCTTTAGAGGCAGGGGTCTTGCTCTGGCTCAGGCTGGTCTCAAAACTGTGAGCTCAGGCAATCCACCCACCTGGGCCTCTCAAGTGCTGGGATGTTCTTTGAGTTTCTCACAAGGTAAGATGTGACATTGTCAGACATCTCATAGGTGAATTTCAAAACAGTAGCAAAGGGTAGAAGAATTAGATGAATGTTTCATTCTTCCTGCTGGGTGGATTTTAAAGGCTTTTTATGATGATCTGACTAAAACTGGTTGTCAGCTACCCAAGCATTTTTTTTATTATAGGTTTTTAAAAACTGAAAGAAAACACTCTTTAATTTTTAAATATTTCCAGGGGTGTCCAACCTTTTTTCTTTTCTGCCACACATAGCAAACATAAAGTTCTATCGGGTGACACAGTACATTCCAAAACACTAAGGAAAGCTGATTAGTAAAAAAGAAAAAAGATCTGTGCATACTTTTTGTGATACCAGACACCACAGATAAGAAAAAAAAAGTCCTCACACAATCAGCATGTGGCCAGAGAGATCAGGTTGGACACCCTCCCTCATCTATACAAATACCACCATCCCCATTACTTTCCCCATTGTTTTCACCATATTCACTACCTCCAACTCTATTCGTGGCCAGTCCCCTCTAGTACCAAAATATAACAAATTTGCAGCACATTATGAAAAAGGGATCTGGCAGAAATGCTGAGGAATTTTTGAGGGTTTGGTTGGGGGGTGGTGTGGAGAATAGAACTCCTTTTATTTCTGGCTTGGTTTGGATTTCTGATGTTTGTTTCAAATTGCTATGTTGTCCCAAATCATAAATTGCTTATGTAATTTAATATGCAAAAAACGGGTACATTGTTTAAGAATGTTTCAGTTGAGCAATTGAGCTTCCAAAGTAAAATCTAAAAGAAAAAACTTAAGTACGTTACCTAATAGAAACCGAACTTTCCAGGTATTTCCCCCTAAATTTTGACTATAATAATGAAAGCTAGTCAACCACATTCATGATCAAAAGAGACAAAATCCACATACTGAATGGAAAAAGAATCCTTTTAACTAGGAGAAAATACTGGGGATGTGTTTATTTAGCATTTTTGTAAGTATCCCCCCCCTTTTTTCTGTTTCTTTTTCTTTTAGGTAAAGCCTGGTTACGTTTCTTCCAGCTTCTTCAAGAAGTGCATCAGCGATCAAACTTGAAACCTGGGATCCCTTCCTCGAACGAGCTGTAGATGCAGTTTGCCTCCATTTATCAATCCTGTACTTTACATTAAAATGCCTGTAACAACATTTGGCCAAGTCGAGACAAATCTAAACACTGCTGAGCAGCTGAGGTTCTGTTCTGCCACAATAGGGGTGAAAAGAATGCTCCCCCTTTTCCAGGCTGTCCCTGCAAAGGGATGGTAATAATGCCCGTAAAGGCCCAGTAGGAGCAGCCCGGACAGCAGTTCCTCTGGCTGGACGCCCAGTGTTGGTCGATGGCCGCACCGGATTGTAACTCCAACTTCTGCAGCCTGTTGGTTCGCCCCTCTCGGGTCCCTCGGTAGATGGGATCTGCAGCCTCCAGAACTGTCGCTTGAGAGGAGTCCAACCATGCATCTCTGTCTACAGAAAAGTTCTCGCCGCATTCCGGACCAGCCCTGCTACCTACGTTCCTCTCGGCCAAAAACTTAGAGACTTGCAGCGCGCCCAGCCGAGCTTGATTTCTTCCTCTGCAGTGAAGGGGAGCCTCAGTACCTATCCCTGCCCGGCTGCACTGGGACAAGCACCCACGATCCAGCCTGGGTGCCCTCGGGACACGCGAGGGGTATGGTCAGCGGAGGGGTGAGTTCCCGCGCACGGCGGGGAGCCGGGTGTTTGCAAACTTGCAGCGGCCAGGCGTGCTCCCTCCCCCAGTCCCCCGGGTCGCCTGGCCCCCAGCAGGCTCACTCACCTTCACTCACGAACGCCGAGAGGAAGAGCCCCAGCAGTAGCGGCAGCGGGGCAGGCCCCATCCCGAAGCCGCGGATCTGGAAATTCTGTCCCGATCGATGGACAGAGGGACGTCCGGAACTTGCCCTGTCCCGGCGCCACAGTCGCGGCGGCCAGGACAGTAAGCGCCGGAGTGGCTGGCGAAGCCGAGCTGCCTGCGGGAGGCGCCGAGAGCTGGAAGGGGCGGACCGGGGGCCGTGCCCAGGCTCACACCGACTGGAGAGGAGGGGCGCGAAGGAGGCAGAGTCTCAGTGGACTCCAGCAGGTCAGAATGGGAAGGGGCGGGAGGAGGACAGGAGAGGAGGGGCCAAAAAGGGAAAGGGAGCGGGTTCGAGGGGTGGGGGGCGGAGAGGGGTGGGCCATAGGCAGGAGCTGGACTGACCAGGAGGGTGGAGAGGAAGGGGAGGGGGCTGAAAGAGCCCGGAGGGAGTTGGAGAGATGTAAGGGGGAGGAACGTGGCGAAGGTGGGGAAGGGAAGAGGCACTGGACGCTGACCCAGCCAGTCGTCCCCCACGTGTAGGTGGGAGGCAAAAGGGTAAGGAGAAAAGAGGAGAAAAGAGGAGAAAAGAGGAGAAAAGAGTACAGGGCGCGGCGAGGCAGTCTCTAGACCCCAAAGTTGAGTCCAGAGGAGCACCCACAGACCAGGCTTGGCGGACACCGAAACCCAGGCAGCAAAGCTCCCCAGAGGTCAAGGCTGCAGCGCAGCGCTCCCTGCCGAGCGCAGCTTACAGTCCGCTCCCTGCGAGCGCCTCCTGGGAACCGCCGCAGGTGCGAGACACGTTAGGGCGCTGGCGTTAGGGACCTCCCCGCCGTCAGGGGAGAGGTTTTCCTAGAGGACTCTTCACCGTGCTGTGTGACAAGTCAAAGAGAGGTGACGCTTTTGCAGGAGTGGGAAGAGCAAGTAAGGCACCCGTGAAGTGTGGAGAGTCCCAGACAGCAGTAGCAGGGAAAGTGAATCAACAGAAATGTAAGCTACTTTTAGTAATGATGGCAACAGTAACTTACATGTACGCATACATACTTTCTTAAAGGAAACATTTTTAGAATGAATGTATTTCATTCTAAATATATTGTAATGCTTTGACAATATTCCATAAGCCAGATCACAACATTCTTCTGCTCAAAACTCCCCAAAGTCATCAGGACCCAGTGGCTCCTGCTTTTGGTTCTAGCACTTTAGGAGGCTGAATAGGGAAGATCACTGGAGCTCAGGAGGGCTCAGGAGTTCAAGACCAGCCTGAGCAACAGTGATACCACGTCTCTACTAAAAATGGAAAATGCACCAGGTGTTGTGGCATGCACCTGTAGTTCCAGCTATTAGGAGGCTGAGGCAGAAGGATCACTTGAACCCAGGAGTTTGAGATTGCTGTGTCCTAGGATGAGCCTATGGCACTCTAGCCTCAGCAACAGAGTTAAACTCTGTCATAATGAAACAAACAAACAAACAAACAAACAAAATTCCCCAAACTCTTTGGTGGCTCCTGCTTTCTCTCTCTATAGGAGGTTAACAGCTGCCTGGCCTACAAGGTCCCAGTGACCTGACTCTTTTCCCTCTCTGGCCTCACCTCCTTACTCCAGTTTCATTTTCTCTCATCAAGCAGTCTCTAACGCTCTAGACTAGCTGGTCACTTCACAGAGATTAAAGGGACAACCAGTCCAGATAAATTTAGAGAGGTTACTTACACTGAGAGCAAAAGCAAAATCAGCATGGTGTCAGCTCCACGCATCCCTAGTCCTACAGAATGGCACCAAACCAAGGTGCCTATATATAAACAGATAATGCCAGCCCTGCTGCTGAGCACCAACTCTAAACTACAGCCAAGCAGTTTTAAATATGTCACAGGAGTCTGCTGCTGCATCCTTGGGGGCCCAGGGGCAGGAAATGGTAGGAATGCGATAGAAAGTCCTGCAGTCTACAACTTTGGAGAAGGAGGAGAAACAGCCTTGCAGCAGTCTCCCAGGGGCTCCTGACCAGGCTTACCCATCCCTGCTCTAGGAGGATTCAATCACAGGGCAGTCCAACAAGACTTGAGTTTGATTATGGTCATCCCTTGCCAACATGGCCTTTGTAGAGATATGCAAGATTGCCAGGGCATCTCAGCACAGCTTCTCTACAGTTTCCTTGCTGTTGCTCACCCACAGAAGGCATTTCTGCACTTAAGAGTTTTGCACTGTTTTGGTGCCTGTGGCTCAAGTGGCTAAGGCGCCAGCCACATACACCTGAGCTGGCAGGTTTGAATCCAGCCTGGGCCCACCAAACAACAATGACCCCTGCAGCCAAAAAATAGCCAGGCATTGTGGCAGGCACCTTTAGTCCCAGGTACTTGGGAGGCAGAGGCGGAACATTAACTTGAGCCCAGGAGTTGGAGGTTGCTGTGAGCTGTGATGCCACAGCACTCTACCCAGAGTGACAGCTTGAGGCTCTGTCTCAAAAAAATAAATAAATAAAGAGTTTTGCATTGATTGTTCCCTCTGTCTGAAATGCTTTTTCCAGAAACATATGATTCCCAATTGACTCTCCTTTTTAAGTTTTTGCTCAAATCTCACTTTTCTTTTCT